TTGTTTTCTATCATGCGGATAGCGTTGAACTCATTCGTTGGCTTATCTTGTTCCAGGAGTGATCCGTTTTTGGGTACCAGCGACTTCATTAGCCGTCTGCTAAATCATTTTGTGGAGAAGTTCAAGGCCAGCAACCCAAATTTGAAGACCGATGTGCGGAAGAATCCAAGGGCTATGGCAAAACTGTCGACAGAGGCGCAAAGGATCTTCAAGGTTCTCAGTGCTAATCCGGAAATTGTTTCAACAGTAAGTCCTTCGGGGTCCTTCACTGCTTGTTTTGTGGAGCTGGTCTCGGTCTTGGTTTTCTTTTTTGAAAACAATTAGGCGACTACTTTGGACGATTGAAAAGACCATTTCTGGCTCTTTTGCGTACCCTAAGCACCTGAGCTGCAGGGCTAACATGAGCACCAGCCTGTGACGGCTCTGGTTTGCGTCCAAAAAAGTGAGGGGACGGATATGTCTTCCGAATTGATTGATGAATGCTCTTTCAGTGGAAACCGCAGTAGCTTTCATGAAATGTTCAACGACGTTTAGCATCGTATATTCAATTAAAATGTTTACTTAAGCAGGAATTCAACCTTTCTTATAGTGCTTATAGGTCAGTTAAATCAGGATTTCGAAAAGGGTTCGTTTTGGCAAACTAGCCTTCACGATAGAGGACACAATAGATTCTCTTTCTTATGAAATGTAAACCAAAATTCTGAAAAGGTTTTTCCTTTCGAATAAATTAGTTAAGTAGGGTTTTCATGTTGATTATCTCGCAGCTCATTCTCAAGTCACCTCGGCTTTTAAATGAGCTTCTTTCTGACCTTATGCAAAAACTTTACTCTGTAAAAAAATGGCTACAATTTCCTTGGTCAGCGTAGCCTACTAAAAATTGAGTGCACAAAAGGACATATGTGTGCATGCATTCCAAAAGGTTTAGTTGGATTTACAGGAGTACTGTAAATCAATAAAAAAGATATATACTTAAGACGTAAACTGCCCGATCGTTGGGACAATACTTTTATTAGCCGGACGTTTCGAGATCCGTCACGGATTCGTCATGAGAGAGAGTAGTAGTATCTGCTACTGCTCTCTGACTATTTCTCTGATGAGGAATCCGCGACGGATCTCGAAACGTCAGGCGAATAAAAGTATTGTCACAGTGGTCGAGTCATCTTTTTAACGGTCTAGTAGTGGTTGTACTCGGATCACTACATTCATCAGGTCGAATCCCAGGTTGGTAGTTAAAAGGCAAGAATCACCAGAATGAGGGTTTTATTGTGTACAAGCCACGGCTTTTAGCGAACAGTGATAGCTCCAAGTGCGTCAGTTTGTTTGTAGTGAGGATAGAGAAGCGCGGAGTCTTCGCCTTCACTCTCTCCCCCACTGCCAGCATAAGTCCGCCCTGCAGGCCGCTCACTTGTGGGTTGTGGGACGGGCGTAGCGGCTGACAGGGCCGGTGAACCCGTCTGCGCATGCCACAACATAACTCCGGCCCCAATGACGCATACACTATGATTTAAATAAC